CTCACACTTATGAAATTGTATAGAGAAGCTTAATATTTATAGGGAACATGTAGGGGACGTCCAAGCCCTTTTAGTAGAGTTGTTGATGAAGTAGGACGCAAAAAATCGAGTCCAAAATGAAAAAGGAGAGAAAAATGCGAAAAATTGGAAACAGGTCAAGAACGGGCGCTGCAACGCCGAGTGTTCTGCAGGAAAAAATATATATATTTTTTGTCAAATTGTTTTTTGCATCCTGAACTCTTTTTCAAGTTCAATACCAATTTTCAACTTCCAATGAGCTTCCAAAATAGAATTTCAACTTGACACATGACTCCAATAGCATTCCAATCTGAATTCTTCTTGATGTGCACTTTAATTAGAATTTTTCAATATTTCAAATAAGAAATTCGAGTCACGCCCAAATTCTAATTACAAACTTGAAAATTTTCTAACTATGACCAGAAACTGTATTAATATCAAATGACAATCTTTTATCCTCAAACAAACGTTATGTTTTGAGTGAATTGCCTATTTAGTAACTAAACTTTTAGCCATGCACGCAAGGGATCATTGAACTTTCAAAATAACGCAACTAGACACTGAACATTACAATTCATCATCTCAGAAGTCACTGAGCAAACGGCGGTTGATAAATTGGATGTAATTTTCACGTGGCAGCTGATAGGCCAAGACAACTCAATGAATTTTGAAAGTTCATTGACCCCTTGCGTGCATGACTGAAAGTTCAGTGGCTAAATAGGCAATTCACTCCCCGCGGCCCCCATTGTTCCCTATTAAATTATAATTCATTTTTCTTTTTTTTTTTTAACAAACACACATTCTTCAATAAAATAAGATTACACGTAAATAAATAAAAAAATCCTTCTTTTTTAATTATACATTTTCCAAAAAAATAATATTCCTCTCATTATAATGTGGAATAAACGAGCGCTTAATAATCAATTGAAAACTTATATTTTTTAAATGTGTTCTAACAAAGAGTTTGAAAAGTTGAATGACCTTAGTGATTTTGTAAAGAAATTAGTTATGACAAAGAAAA